GATATTTGAAATGAACATTTTATATTTTATTGTGAGGTATAATTTGAACGGATCAATATTAAAATTGGTAGTTCACAACAAGCTTCATTCATCTCGTGAAAAGCACCTCATGAGGATGGTTAGTCAGCAAAATACTAATCTAGCAGCTACAATTAGCAAGTTGAAGTCAATCTATCCAGGAGGCCGATCAACACCGTACCCCTGAATATTTACTTCACAGTAATTTTCACATTCTCTATCCTTTGGTTGGAGATTTTTCTAGTTAAAAAATAATTAAGTACCATTGGTATAACACATGCTTCTTTTTTGGGAAAATACATAAAATCCCTCCAAACTTGTCTGCATAACTTAGTTTAGCAATGCAATTTTACGGACGTTTTTTTACCCCCCTAATGTAGTTTCAGTTGAATTAAATTACCCCCTAAAAGATGATGTGGCAAGATTTGTATCATCAATTTTCTACAGGTGCGTGAAGATGAAAAAAAACAAAAAGTTGTTTCAAACTATGCACGTGTCATCTTCTCTTAGGATGACAAAATAAATTAATTACTCCACATTTTACTATTTCTAAAAAATATTTTCTTTTTAATTCAAAATTTCTTTTTCTTTTATCCATTTTTTCCCTACTTTTTCTACCTTCCTCTTTCTTTCTTCTTTTTCAGTCCATCACACCCGATTGCAACACAACATTTTTTCCCAAATGTCAATATTTTTCTTTTCTTTTCATTTCTCCTTTTTAATCTTTTCTTTGTTTTTGTATTCTTCTTTGACAAGAAACTTGATGTTCAGTTCTTCGACACGATTTCCAGCGACTTATTTTCGATATCAAAAAAGTGTCAAATCATCCGTTAAAGAAGTCAACAAAAAATAGATCATAGAATCTTCACCCAACTTACAAAATAAACTAATATTCTTATGGAAAGAATATTTTCGATCTTCAAAAGAGGGGGTTGAGGAGTAGCTGAAATCAGAATTGAAATTGAAGAAAAGTTTTTATAGACTTTGTTGTTAGTTCATGTAAGAAGAAAAGTTGAATTTTTTTTTTGTTATAGCTTAGAGTTGCAAAGGTTATTCGGATTTCTCTTTGAAAATGAGAAAATGAGAAGGTGGTGAACTTGAGGACAACAATGGGGAAAATTCAGTTATTTAGGGGATTTTAATAATTAATTAGAGATTAATTTATGAAACTATAATTAATAAAAAAAACTAAGAATAATTAAGAAGAAAAAAAACAAGAAAAAATTAAATTTAGTATAATTCCAAATTAAATTTGATTTTCCTTTTTTTTAAAAATAAATAAATATTATTTCTTATGTGAATCTGATGTGGCGTTGATGTGGCACTGATGTTGCCCTGATGAGGCGTGTGTGTAGTGCACTTCCCAGTGTGAAACTGGTATTGTACTGTTAGGATGGAATTAAATTCACTTCAAAGATGTAAAGGAGGTATTTAAACACCCGTGTAGTTTAAGTACTAAAGTAAGTTATCGTGCCAAGTTCAGGGGTTTTTTCTAAATGTATTTTCTCTTCTTCTTTTTTGGCTAGAGGCCAGAGGGTATAACATATTTGTAGCTATACATTATAACTAGAGCCATCAATATGTGCTAGGTCCGTTAGGTCAACCCAATCTAATCCGTTATTTAATAGAGTTAGATTAAAATTTTTGTAGTCCATTTAAGAAAAGAGTTTTTTAGCCCGATCTGGATAAGCCTGTTGATTTATGCGACTTGAGCAATATGTGTTGGGATGGCTCGTGGGCTAAATTAAAAAATAAAAAAATAAAAAAATAAATAAATAGAGTATTAAAAATAACAAAATTCCAAACTCAAAGGCTATTTAAAGTTTGAAATATTAAAATTTAAAATCATCAAATTTAATATACTTAGTATTCCTATTATACTGTATCATAAGAATAATCATTCAACATTGGTGGATGTGTTCTAACCAAGTATAAAAGTTGCATCCATGATGAAAATATTTAAACACTGGTAGCTATTCGAAACTGGTTAATGATTTTTCTCAAACTGATAATATTTTTTTGTGTGCATTTGAATTCTATACGTAGTTCTTAAATTTAATTATTTTTAATATTTCACTAATTATTTTTTTGTGTGCATTTGAATACTTTAATTTTAATTTCTTTTTAAATTCTACTTCATCATCTTCCACCCCTACTTCAAGTTACCCCTCCCTCCATTTTCTTTCTTTCTTTCTTTCTTCTTCACCTCCCACCCTCACCTCACCCCACCCCCACGTCAAGTTGAGCCCCTGCACTTCTTCTTCTTCTTCTTCTTCTTCCTCTTCCTCTTCCTCTTCTTCTTCCTCTTCTTCTTCAAATCCAAATTTTGAAGGTATTTTCTTCTTCCTCTTCCTCCTCTTCCTCCTCTTCCTCCTCTTCCTCTTTTTCTAAGAAAAATCAAAATTTTGAAGGTATCATCAATTAATTTATCTCATTTTCATATAACTTCAAAACTAGCTAGAAATTATAATTTTGAAAGAATCAGAATTCTCCGAAAATTGAAAAAGTTTAAATGAAATTTGGATAAAAAAAACTAAATAACACCTATCATCTTGAAATCTAATGAGTTTATCAAATTGTTCGAAATGTAATAAAATATTTAGATATAATTTTAAAATTGAAGAGAGTTAAACTAATAGTAGTAAAAAAGAGAGGGGGCAGTTGTGGTAAAAAGTGACATTGAAAGTGAGAAGCTACAATGAAGATGACAATGAATTTTTGAGAAGAAGGAAGAAAGAAAAAGAAAAAAATAATAAGGAGAAAAAGTTAAAATAATAAGAAAAACAAGAAAATATATTTTATAGAAAAATACTTGTAAAAACAAAATTATATTCATTTTTTTAGTTTGTTCACGCTCTTTAAGAGAGTGCATACACTCTCCATGCCAGGTAGACAAAAAATGATGTAATAATATTAGTTCAGGATTGTTTAGGACGGTAATAGGACACTTGCATAGTTTAGGTGTCTTTTTGAAAATTCGGGACAACTTCAAATGTCACTTTATGTTTTTTTCTCAATGTCTAAACAAAATGTAAAATAGAATGAAGCTCATGTGAATAACTTTGGCTCTCACTAGAAGACTGTCTCTATTATCAGAAGACAACTTTGGGCCTCTCCTTCAACACTTGTGTCTGAAATATGGTAAAAGAGGGCCAAGTCTTTAGTTGCGTAGGCACATAGAGCAAAGAATGGTCTGTTGAAATTTCTGATTTTGCCACTATATCTATCAACCAAGTGAATAGTCATCTAATCCGTCAACGTATGTAGTAGTTTTGAAATTAAAAATTATGTAAGACGTACACATACCCAACTCAAATACATAAAATCATTTTTACACAAGTATATAGAAAACAATAGGTTAAGAGTACCTTTTAAGTTCTCTTGTATAAATACTTGTAAGTTCATTAGTTTTTCTTTTATTGATTGTTTTAATCATACAAGCCGTTAGTTGAACCATTCACGTCTTTGGTAAGCACCCCTGACTTTCAATCTTGAGGGTGTGAGTTCAAGCCACCAAGGGAGAAAAAGGTAAGAGCTCCTGGGAATGAATTAGCACCTAAATCCTATTACTCACAACAATGTACTATTGATATTCATTTAAGATTATTGCTAAACAGAAGTAAAAAAACACACGAGATTATCATGGAAACTTCTTTGCTCAAGGAAGTAAAAATCATGACCTACGATGACTGGATTTCCAACCAAAACTTCACAAACTTCAAAGATTGGTTTCAGATTAAAACTCTATAATCTAAGGGATTAACTCAAGTACCTCAACACCTATAGTTTCTCCAACTATATACTACCTTCAAAGACTATACACTCTATTCTTTAAAGAACACAACCTACACAACAAATTCCATACTCACTTTACTGCCAACAAACTAGATTACAATGGAAAACTTCCTTGCTGAAGGGAGTAAAAAAAACATGATCTATGATGATGATAGGATTTCCAACTAAAACTTTACTAACTTCAAACAGTTGTTTCAGATTACAACTTTATAATCTTATGGGACTAACTCTAGTACCTTAACACCTACGATTCACTCTAATTGTATACTACCTTTATATACTATAAACTCTAGTCTTCAAAGAACACAACCTATACAACAAATTCAAGACTCACTTTACTGCAAATACACATGAGAATATTACAGCCCAATAATCTCCTAATTACAGACTCAAATCTGAAAAACCTAAACACTAGTAAATTAAACTAGTTCTTGGCTTGATGCAACTTGACTCTGAATCTTCACTTCTGCGACTACTACTGCTTGAGAGAATACCTTTTTCTGTACATATCTGCTCAATTCTACTGCATCCTTGAGTCTTAATTAGGTTAGAAAAAGACATGATTCCTTATAGGATTTTGACTTGTGTAAAGGAAAATGAGATTCTTACAAGTTACAACTCTTTTTTCCTTATGTACTTATTAGAACTCCAATCTCAATCCAGATACTGTCGTGTTGTACGTTGTACCATGCATTTTTTGTCATAGAGGGACCTGGTCTATCTGCAATAACAAACACAATATAACAAAAGAAACACATGAACCTGGTTCACGTTGTCAATCATCAAAACTACATACTCCATCGTTCCCCATTTTCCAACACCCCCTCCACCTGGGGAATAAGTGCCTAGATGGATGGAATTACTTTGTTAAAAAAAATACTAACATCTTGACTAGTTGTTTTCCTGATGATGATGAAGAAGAAATAAATAAAAGACTTAATTAGGTGTCTATCTAGGTGCTAGTCCAAGTTAAAGAGAAGTAATTCTGGGGCCTTTGTCTCCAACTTTAAAAGAAAATGTCAGAGTTTTGAAATTTGAGAGAAAGGACTCCAACAACCAGCACAAGGCAATTATTTTGTTTGTTGATTAATTGATATTCATACATAGTAAGATAGAGGGGACAACATTTAAGTATATATACAAAATGACTTATAACATATGTATTAAAAAGATAAAGAGTTTTGGTGTGTGACAGATAGAGCGTGAGCACGCAGAGCTTTTAAACATGGGGAATAATCCATGAAAGAACCATGTGTGCTCACTCTCTTCTGTCACACATCCATAATTTTACCTGTCTTACTCATTATGAATCTCAACAATAGTTTCTTTGCAACCCATTAGGGTTACACCAACACAAGAACCTTAATTATATAAAGTTCTCTTCCTTGACAAATTATGTCTTCCAAGCCTTGACCTTTATAGATGGTTAAAAGTGGTGATTCTCTCCCCCACTCTAGGAAATGTGTGTGTTTTTTTAATTAACCAATATATGAAATTTACTGATTCAATTAATTCAGATTCATGTCGTGTAGGGTGGGAGAGCGATCCATATATACTAATAATTTTTCTTTTAAGGCTTAAATCTGAGATCTTGAGTAAAGGGTATAGTGGATGACTTACATTCACTTTGTGGTTCTCTAGGAATACATAGATTCCGCTCCTTTTCATTTCTTTAAGTTCTTAATTACTTGAATGGAAGATGAGTATAACATAGTGTAAAAATAATAATGGTTGAAATTTAATTAACTAAAGCAAGGTTTTAACCATGGTTAAGATCTTAATTATTCCATTTTCCTACTTCTTTTCACTGCATTATATATTCTCCATTTTCTTACTTTACCAGGATATCATCTTCCACTTTCTTTTTGGAGTTAATTAATCTTTTGATGACATTTTCTCTTTAAAATTTGCATTCAACAGGATGGTGATACTTTGAGTATTTCTTATATATAACTAGGTTTCTTTTAAATTCTAATTAATAATTTTATACCAACATCAATTATAATTTGTTAGACGGTAAGAAAACTATGATTATCAAAAATTATATATGTCAAATTAATTAATCTATTGTAAACATATTAATGTTAGGATTCTACATCCTAATTCTAAACTATGTTGCTTTCTTTCACCCCCTCAAGTTGGAGGTTGATAATTATGCAACTCCAAATTTGCTTTAAAATTCATGTAAAGATTGTTGTTTGATGATTCGTCGATGGTTAATGCAAAGAGTCTTTGTGAATTTTTCTGTAGAAATTGGCAGGAGTAATTCCATCTATATATATATAAATATAAATAGAAGAGACAGTGTGATTGTTTCTTCCACAAATTTACAATTGTAAAGAACATTACAGGTTAAGTAAACCAACAGTCTGTATGATCAAGATTTATCTATTAGGAGAGTCACCTCTCTTGCAAGAAAATAAAAGGCTGCTCCATCTCTTCTTTTTTTTTATAAAAAACATTTCTGGCTAATTAAAGGGGATCCATATATCAATAGTAGATATATTAGTGATCAGTAATCAGAAGCTTACATGATATTAAGTATAATTTACAAGAAATCTTATATATTTGGGGCTAATTATATCATATTCCGAAAGCTTTCCCAATTATAAAAATTTCAAATTTATTATTTCTCTCGGATACATTTTTTAGTTGTCCGATACATTGCAAATGATATATATCTACTTAAGCATCAGATAGATTCTTTTGTTGTCAGATACATTAGTTTCTACTGATTCTGTTGCATCAGATACATTCCTATGTTGTCAGATACATTAATTGGTCTCTATTATGTTATTGCGTCATTCCTCTGTTGTATGATATATAACTATGAACATGATTCATAATGGGAGGGATGTATCTGAGAGGAAATTTTTGTAATTTTTTAAGTCGTGTATTTATGTAATTTTTCCTAATATTAATTAACATTGTGCCCACATTTTGTGAAAGAAAGCATGCCCAATTAATTACTGCCAAACCAAAAGACAATGAAAAAAGAGGGAAAAAAAGATCAAATTATATTTATTGTGTCTCTATCAAGGACCACTTATCAGATTAAGGCTAGTACACATGCACTTAGTCTTAGGCTTCCAATACATTCACAAGAACCCTAGATATATAGGAATGCAATTGTGGAGAGGAATAAGCGCTTTCTTTGAGAAAATACCCAACTTTTTAAGATGCCAAGAAATATTATAACCATAATAATTAAAAGTGCATTTATTTTATATTATATAAATATGATGCATGGTCCTAAAGTATTTTTTCTGTTATGTAACTACTTTAGTTCCTTAACTAATTCTTTTTTAAATTAAAATAAAGCAAACTTTCAAACATACTTAAGAAGTTAGGTCTTCTTTTTTTAATATTAACATTTTGGAATCTACATTGTACCATTTCAATATTAAGATAAGAAAATCAATATTTCTTTTTGTTGAAAATAAATGAATATTAAAATAATATATAAAAAAGGTATCATAAAAATGAATTTATGGTGGTCGGGGATAGTGATGAAAATTAACAGTAATGATTTTGAGTGTTGACTGACGATGATAGTTGGATATATTAGCGACAAGTGGTGCATGGTGGCTGTGTGTAGTATGGTAGGTTTGTAGCTAGCTAGTACAATAGTAGTTAACAATGGTAATTAGTAATGACAATAGTGATATGATGATTTATAATTTATATTGGTGATTGGTGTGGTGTGTTAATTTAATCCTACTCTGCCTTTGTTGTTGGTTGGATTGGTTATCCAGTCAACAACTCTATTCGGAAGTCAGGTGAAGCTCCCCTCTATAAATTCTTACAAGATTATAACACATCCCTACCCCCGGGTACCCCCAAAAAAAAAAAAAAGTAGTAGAGACATTTTCAGAAGCTAAATAAAGTAGTTTTTCTCCAAAGTTTCTTGAAGTCAATATAAAGTTAAAGTTTTGTTTGGATATGTAATTTGAATTTTTAAATTGTATTTTTTGCTTATAAACATAAAAAACCACGTAAGTTTTGAAAGCAATTAAAATTGCCTCAATTTTTTATACACTCTTATCAAATAAACAAAAATTCATAATAAAATATAATACAATATCACAATATTATTCTTTACAACATTTATTAATTGAACTTTAGTTCAGTAAATAACTAAAATGAACATATTTTGTAGTGTACTACTCTTTGATAAAATTTAACATGCTAAACACTATTATTAGTAACTATATCATCATGTTATATTTCGTGAATATTTCATTAGTGCTCCTTTGGTATAACTCTCGTAAAAAATTATGTAAATATAAAATAGTGGATTTTTAAAAAATATAAACTATAAACATGTGAGTCAAGTTTTGTACATAAAAAAATGTGAAATCATGATATGAAATTTCTAAATCAAGCTTTTCGGAGAAATTGAGATCTCATCTCATGATTTGAAATTTGAGATGAAATCGCATGTTCAAACGCCTACTTATATCATGTTCGGCCTAACTTCTAAAATTATGTTATTTCAAAAAATATTATTTTTTAAAAATATTTTTGGTGAGATACGATTTGTATTTGACTAATCAATTAAGAAAACACTTTTGAGAAATATTTAGTGCTTAGCTAAGCTTTTAAAAAATGTCTCTAATTGTATTTTTAAAGTTTGGTCAAACAAGCTATAAGACTAATTAATTAATGACAACAATTCCCTTTAGTCATATGATAAAGTGCAATATTTTTTTTGTTTCAATTTATGTCTTCTTCTTCTTTAATTTTTATTTTAATTCAATAAGAATGCTAATCCATATTTAATACGTTTCTACTTTTAACATTTGCAACTTTAATTAATGACACTTTCTCATTAGAATTAACATGGAATGTTATAGGGATAAATTGCTTAATTATTTGGCTAAAGTTCAAGGGCTACATTGCATTTTATCCTATATATAATGACTAATGGGCGGTTTGGATTGGTTTTTTTAAGTAACTTATAAGTTTAAAGTCATAAGTTAGGAATTCTCAACTTTTGACTTTTTGATTTTTTTAAATACTTTTTAGCTTTAGAAAGTGCTTTTAATCATTTTTTGTGTTATTCAAACACTTTCAAAACTATTTTTTTTTAAAAAGTTATGAAAAATCACTAAAAATAAGTCAAACAGCCATTAAGTTGGACCACATATACCCGAATAGGGGCCTCCGAAACAACTTGCAGGAGAAGATTAGATTGAACCGATAACATTGAGAACTGATAATTTAAAATTTAAAGTTTATGCATTTGAAATTTTAACATTTTTAAGTTATAGAGTTTTAAATTAATATCTTATGCATACTAGATAGATTTTTCAAGATAAATATAAGATTTATATCAAATAGAAATGATTAAATTTTGCTTTAAGAAGTTTATAATTACCGGATAAGACCTAAATTTGCTTCTTTTATGGTGTGTTTGGTATGATGGAAAATATTCTTCGAGAAAATACATTATTTCTTACTTTATTTATTGTATTTGATAAATAAAAAAACTATTTCAAAAAGTATTTGTATATAGTTTGAGAAAATACAATAAGGGTAAATGTGGCGGGGTGGATGGGGATGGAGGTGGGGTTGGATGGTCAAAGGGTGGCATGGTTAGGTGTTGGCGGCGCCGTTCGGGTGGAAAATAGATAATGAGTTTAAAATGACACTTTTGAAATTTATTTTCAATATTTAACGAGGAGAATGTTTTTTCTTATTTTTAAAAAACTTATTTTTCTAAATAAAATATTTTAACCAACAAAATATAAAAAAACTATATGAAGGGTGAGAAATGAGTAGGATGATATAATAAACGGCAAAGGGTCAAATATACCCTTGTACTATAGGAAATAGTTTAAATATACCCCTCCCGTTATACTTTCGAGTTAAATATCCCTTCCGTTATACTTTTGGGATAAATATACGCTTATGACTAACAGAGAACACATGGATGGTTAAGATTAAAAAAACTGTTCAATTTAAAATAAATCACATTCTAACCCGCCCCGCCCCAATAACGTGGCCTAATCTATAACATTGACCCACCCAATTTATCTTTCAAAAAGAAGGAATCCGAATGTCCAATTGAGTTCTCTTGAGAGCTATTTTTTCTTGTCTAATTCAAACATTAGCCACAGGTGAGGAAAATAACAATATCAACACTCAATATTAGATAAAACGAGTACAAACTTGTAAGATTTGAAAAAATAATAATGTTATTTTGGGACGATAATGATAGGAAATATATATATAGGGGAAAACTGAAAATTTGTGGAATAACGAAGCAGCT